TTAAGCTCCACATAAATTTTTTCTGTTGGATCTTTGACATTATTCATAGTCTTTGGTAGCCATGTTTAGTTCAGAAGTTATATAAATAATTCAGAAGTTATATAAATAATCATAATTTATCAAACATCATCTTAACAGATTGGTAAATATATAGTATTATTCACAATTTACACTGTTTGCTTTATTATTTGTAACTTTTATAAAGAAATTAAGAAACTAAAATTTCTTATGTGTACTTATGTGTACTGTGTATAGTGTTTAAAAGATTATCAGTTTATTCAGTTGGTACATGGTACTTGGACTCAACTATGATTAAACCAGCTTTATTGGATGAGGATTTGCCTCATTTAAAATACCTAAAGCTGAATACTTTAAAAATGAAAACAAAAAAAAGAAAGACATCAGAAAAGATACAAAAAAAAAAAAAAAAACTGAAAAAGATCCACCAAGGTTAGCCCCTTTGGTAGATGAGTTCTTACCTTATGTTTAGTTTTAGTGGTTTAACTGAAGAAAGAATAAAAATTGGCTTTCACTTCCACAGCAATACTGGCATACACAATCTTTGTTTAAAATTTTTGAAAATTATGGCAACAGCCTTATTGTTGTCAATAACCATTTAGAAAGAGCTATCAGCATGATGCAGCAATATGCCCATCGTTACAACAACAAAAAGGAAAAACAGATCAAATTGATATCAATTGACAGAGTTTGCTCTGCTTTCAGGATTTCTAGGAAAAGCTTCACTAGTCTTACGAAATAAATTTTTTTTGATAGTCTTTACTCCTTAGCAAAGAAACAAAACACACACAAAAAAATATTAATTAGATAAACTATAGAGGAAACAAATCTTCTTTAAATATTTAAAATATTTTCTTTAGATTTGATAAGTAATATTGAATGTGATATACAAAAACCACATATCGCGTTTAATTCGTTAAATTAAAAAATCAAAATATCAAATTTGTTAAATTTATTGCTTAGAATACACATTATTTTTTATTTATTAAATAATATAAAATGGTATAAGACAAAATAGCATATCGGTAGATGAAAATAATAAGATTCTATCTTCAAATTTTTATACTAAAAAATTTAATTTTCTGTTTTTAAAGGGATCCCCAACTGCCGAGACAAGTTGTGTTCATATTAAAGAAAATGTTTAAAAAAAAACATTTGGGCTAATTTTTTTTGATTGAAACTAAATAATGAATGCATACCAACAAAATTAAAATTGGCATTTTAGTCGAATCTCATCTTCTCCATTTTTTTTTTTTTGGTTCTCGGGGTCTGTATAATGTTAGCCGCAATCTGCAGACTTGATAATTTATTCAATGTGTGTTAATTCACAACAGTTTTGTTATATGACGTCATCGCAATATCTTTTTAAAATAGCGTTTTTTTGTTGTTTTTTTAAAGATAAAAGTTTTTCTACTACTATCAGAAAATTAAATATTTGTATAATTTTTTACAAAATCACAAAAAATATTTGTGATTTAGTAAAAAAATATACAAATATAAATATAAATATATATATATATATATATATATATATATATAAATTTTTTTTTACTTGTTTTATAATTATTTTATGTTTATAATTTATTATGTTGTAGAAGCCAGCCAAAATCATGACACAATTATTAGAGTAATTATTAGAGCTGTCAAGCAGAGAAAAAATAAAGGCAGTATGATGGGATTTTTTGTTTTATATTTAGTTTATATGGTTCAATAGAGTTGTTCGTTTTTGTGTAATTTACATTTAGTTATGGTTTCTTTCACTAACGCAAGCCACTAGTAGCGGCTTTCAAATATGCTTTACAATTTATCTTGTTTAGTACATAAATTTCCATTCTAGACACATAGAATTTGTTTGCTTTAAAGGTTTAATTAATTCTCTACATAATCAAGAAAAAAAAAGAGCTATAATTGTGTAATTATAAAAAAAATATCACAGTTAAAAAATCTTGAATAATCCTTCAAAAAAAAACTTTAAATTTAACTATAAAATAAAACAGCGTTAACACTGTAAAATTAACTTGTAAAAGTGTTAAGTATTTAGTTAAGTAATTACCAAAGTATTTTGAAGAAAAAATATTATTTTTATTCATTAAATGAGGTTTGTTTTGGAGTTAATGTTTTAGTTATTACTTAAAAAATGATAGTTTTAAGCACTTTGCATTTCTTATTGTTTAATGAAGCGTGTTAAAAACTTTATTATTATCGAATTTTAATTAATTGTCAATGTTATGCTATTCAAACTTTATTCAAAAAAATGTGCGGTTGCTACTAAAGGATTTTTGTTAAAAGAGTTTTGTTCGGCTGGTAGCGAACAACTTAATACAATTCTTTGTTTCTATATTGATATTATAACTATTTCTTGTATATTTTAGTACAAATATTTGTTTTAACTTTAATTTAGTTTTATTTAAACAGTTATTAGTAAAATAAGTTGTTTAATATTTATTTTCTACTTTGTTCAGTTTATGTTTTATTCAAGTCACTTGTTTTTTTTTTCAGTTTATACTTTAAATTAACTTACACGCTTTAGTAAAATTATTCTTTTAGTATCTAGTTTATATTTAGTTTAAACCAGTACGTTTTACTGTATTTGTTGTATATTAAATTTTTAATTGCATTATAAACTTTTTGTCGGATTTAGTAAAAAGCTATACAAATAACATGATTTGGTGATTTTGGCAAAAAAAATAATACGACATCCTGAAAAAAAAAATTTATACTATGACATCATATACAGAAACTGTTATGAATTACCACGCATTGAATAAATTATCAAGTCTGCAGATTGCAAGTAACATTATACAGACTCCGAGAACCAAAAAAAAAATGGAGACGGCGAGCTTCGACTACAACGTGAATCTTAAACTTAATGGTGTGCATTCATTATAAAGTTTTAATCAAAAAAATTTAGCCCAAATGTTTTTTTTAAACAATTTCTTTAATATGAACACAACTTGTCTCAGCAGTTGGGAATCCCTTTAAATATAATATTATTTTTGTGTTCAAAATGGTATAATTTTAATATATTAATATTTTTATTATTATTTATATACCTTTTTAAAAATTGTTAGTTTTTGTTTTTTTATTGTTAGTTTCAACCTTATTTTATAAAGTTGAAACTAACAACTAATTTGTGGTCAAGCAATTTTAAAAATTATGAAATTAATAATGTAAGATTAATTATAAAACATAAATAACATAAAAAACATTTACTTTATTAATATAAACAATAATAACTGTAAAACATTTAAATAATTAAAAATTGAAAGTTAAATTCTCACAACAATAAAAAAATGAAGATAGAACCTTATTATTCTAACGTCGCATTACAAAATCAACATTTTTGTTATATTTGAAAAAGCCTTTTTATCTTTAAATTGTTATTGACTTGTTTTTAAAGACCACTTGAAAACCATGTATTTACTAATGAAGTAAGGTACTATGGCACATGTTTGATTTTTTCAGAATATCATTGATACATAAGGAACATTTTTTGCAATAAAATCTCCAAATTTTGCAAAAAAAGTAAAAAAAAAAAATGCAAACTGTGGTTTTTGAAGACAAATTAAAAAAATATAGTCAACTTAGGAGTACTTTATTTTATTCTGATTAAAATATTACAAATAACTAACTAAATAAATTGAGTAATTCTATTCTTATTTTGAATAAATACAAACTATATTATGAATCTAAATAACAAAATTTGAATTTAATAGTTAAAAATGTTATAAAAACACACCACATAATAAACATATTTTAGCCAATTTAAAATGTAAATTTTACTGATAACCCTGAAAAAAAATTTATTATAAATATAAATCTTTATTTAAAATTTAACAATATATATATATATATATATATATATATATATATATATATATATATATATATATATATATATATATATATATATATATATATATATATATATATATTATATATATATATATATATATATATATATATATATATATATATATATATATATATATATATATATATATATATATATATATATATATATATATATATATATATATTTATATCATATATCTTTATTTTAAATTTAACAAGAGATAAAATTGAACAATTCATTATTTGTAATGCTATTACAAATAATGAATTGTTCAATTTTATCTATTGTTAAATAATTAGTGAAAGTTAGCTAAGAACGCAGGAAAAAGAATTGATCATTTATGTGTTGAAAAAGCAGCGAAGCTGCCAATGTTTTGTGGGAGGTAAAGGTCACTGATACCATCACGAAGAATACATAGGTATTTTTGAATAAACGATAGATTTAGGGTACACACACACAATAGATAAAACTGATTTTTTAAACAAACCATAAACTGAAAAGAGAAACAAACTAAACAAATTATAAAATAAATAAAGGATAAACCAGAAAAAAAAAAAATGCATAAAACTATTATATTTTTAATTTAGAAGCGTCTCAATAGTTCAAACTTAATTCAAAAGCGCTTTAATCAATAGTTTAAAGCTAATCTTTGTTCCTATATCACCACATTGATGTAGCACTTATATGATTAGTTGCGTCATTTAAAAAGCACAACTGTTATGTCGACATTGGACAAGGGTTCTAAACCTACGAATAGATTATTTTTATTTTTATCATTTAAGATTTTTATTTTTTTAAAGTTTTTTTTTTTTTTTGGTTTTTATTTTTCTTTTCAGTTTATAGTTTGGTTAAGTTTACACTTGTTTATTCAGCGCATTTTTAAAATGCGCTAACTTAAAACATGCAAGGAGCCGTGGCCAAGTTGTCAAAACAAAATATTATATGCATGGTCATATAAGGTATGCAACTGCACACCCCTGAGAAAACTCGTATCAGGTTTTAAAATTTTCACATCAGGTGTTTTAATTTTTCATTATTTACAATTAGTTAAAAAAAATTAATAAAAATACTTAATAAAAATTCTTAATAAAAAAAATTAAGAATACTTAAGAAAAAATAAACTCACCAAGTTTTCCTCCCAAAATGGATACATATGTGGAGTCCAGGGATCTTTAACAAGTTTGTCCATGCTAGCAGATGGGCCTGAATTTATCTTCAATAAAAAACATGTACTTGAGCCATATGCAATTTTCATACTTTCATACACACTTTCAGCCCTAATAGTAAACAAATATACAATAGTAAACAAATATACAATAGTAAACAAATATACAATAGTAAACAAATATACAATAGTAAACAAATATACAATAGTAAACAAATATACAATAGTAAACAAATATACAATAGTAAACAAATATACAATAGTAAACAATATACGTTAATTTAATTTTTTTTAAGTTTAATGTTCACATTTGTATGGTTTAGATAAGTTTTTGTTTTTAATAATATATATGCAGAATGCATGTATTACAAACAAAACTTCATCACTTATACAACTCCATATAAAGCGTGGTAACAATTCTGTATATACAAAACAATACAATTATACTCTTATATACAATAATAAACAACATACATTAGTCTTTTTATTTTTCTAGTTTAATGTCGACTTTTTTTTTTTCAACATCAACACTTCCAACAGGGCTGCAAGCTAGCACTATTAGAGTTAGAACTACTGGAAGAGAAAATAGTTTATAATGCAAGATAAAAATTAACAAATGACTTAAAAGATTATAAATTTTAGAATAAGGAAAACAAGATAAAAGGAGCAAATTCCAAAGAACTGATGTTCAAGAAAAAAAACTAGACAAAAAAGGAGCACTAAAAAAGAGTCGCAATAAAAGGATGACTTGATTGAATGATCAGTAACACAAAAATAAATTTTTGTAGATGGCACACAAAATGCTAGCTCTGTAGATCAGCCCCCATTATAGTATTTAAAGAAAAGAAAAAGAGAAGCTAAATATGACAATGCAACAATGGTTGAAGGTTGGCTGCAAGAGCAAGTCCAACTATGTTTACAATGCATTTTTTGCACCTTATTAAAATAAAAGGACATCATTCAAAGATCCGCTCCAAATATGGTAACAGTATTCCATACAAGGACGGATTAGAGATTTATAGAGATAAAGTATAGAATCTGAAGTAAAAAAAGTGGCTAGCACAATAAAAACATGCAACCTTAGCAGATAAATTTTGCAATGGATTTGATATATGGTTTCCAAGAAACATCATAAGTAAGAGTTAATTCTAGAAGACAAATTTTTGTAATAAAAATTAGCTGAAAGAAGTTTTTTTTAATATGAATTTAACGCTGTGAGGAGGGGGAGGAGGGGAGGGTATGTAAGTAATGGTTTGTTGTTACCTAGTTTCCTATTTCTGTTTAAAATAAATGCAGAATTTTGTAATGAGAAACTTATATTTTAAGGGGCGCCAGTTGACCAGCTTAGGAATCACAGGGAAGGCAGAGGTATATAATGGTAGACAGCTCCTCCCAATCCCCTACAACTTATGTTGAATCTCCCACTGCTCCATGCTATAGTAGAAGTGAGATCCTTTTCAAGCTCAAATGCCTCCTCCAAACAATCCAATAGTGTTGGCTTGTTATCAAGACAATAAAAAAAATGGTAGTATCATCAGCAAAAAATGCCACCTTAAATGTGAGAATTTCTGTGAGATCAATAGTGTAAACTAAAAATGTTTAGAACCCTTGAAGTTGCAGGAAATAAAGAAGAGTGTTCTGCATAGAGGACAAGACGGAAATCAGATTGCTCTCTGGAATTGATGGAAACTTGGGATAACAGATGGCGCTTTCCAACAGGTTGGAACAAAAGACTGATAAGCACCTGTTAAATAATTTTGACAGCTCTAGAGAACACTTCCTCAAGATTATAACAGATATATAAAAATATTCTTAAAGAATTCTTATTCTTATAGAATTCTTATTCTCTTAGGTAAATTGCATTCCCACAGTTTTTTTATTCTCCTAGGTAAATTGCATTCCCACAGTTTTTTATTCTTCTAGGTAAATTGCATTCCCACAGTTTTTTGTTTCTCCTAGGTAAATTACATTTCCACAGTTTTTTTATTCTCCTAGGTAAATTGCATTCTCACAGTGTTTTTATTCTCCTATGTAAATTGCATTCACCACAATGTTTTTATTTAATGATTCGCAATTTGATTGCAATTTTTATTAACCAAAAACATGAATTTAATAATCTCTTAAAATGTTGAAATATAATTCAATTATAATAACTTAAGTATTTACTTCATACATAAACTATGTAATTAATTTATCTTTAGTATACAATCATAAATAATCAATTATAATTATCATAATTATCTCAAGTATACAATCATAAAATTAACTTGATTTTTTAATTGGTACAATAAGAATAATATAGTGTAGGTAAAAACACTTACTTTTTATCACTTCCATCAATGTTATCATGAAGTAGCAGGTAATATTTAAAGGTGTTATCACTAAACCAATTATAAGTTTTCTTGGAGTTTTCATTTGAATTTTGAATAGAATTTTGACGAGAAACAAGTGCTGCAAATGCTTGCATTGGATCTGGGTGTTTAGTAGAAACAACAAATATGCCTAATTTAATGTTAAGTTTTTAAAAGTACCACAGAAACTTTTTTAAATTTGAAAGAAAAAAATTTTTAAAAGTATTAAACAAAACAACAGTGTATTTAACTTTTAATTTTTAATCAGTATCATGTCAAAAAACTATATTAAAACCTGAAAATAACACAACCATGTATCCAAAAATCGTGTAATCTTTAAATAACATGGCTGTCTTTTTCTTTAGGTATCAATTTAAGTAGCTGCATATTAGGCTCAAAACATATGGTAAAAATTTATTTGTTGAAAATGTTGTCTCACCCTCCTAAAAGTTTTTTTATGGTCCCATGATATCACTTGAAAAATTTTATTAAATTTAAATATTTAGTAGTCCAGCAAGGTCCTTGAATTTTTACTGTTGGTGTAAATAGAGTCCATTGCAAAAGATTTTTGAAGTTATGGTATCATTAAAAAGATCTCAAAGTGTAGATTTTACTCAGGCTTAGTCGAAAAGCGGGTGCGATCGCACTCAATAATTGACCATGCAAATAATATTTAGTTGCAAAAAACAGGCCATATTTTTTAGTTGTTTTGAGAACACTTAATTTATATATGTTTCCATGTTTGTCTGCAAAATATTTATAAAAGTTATAAAGTTAATTTAACATAAACTTGAATGTTCTCAAAATCTTGGTGCGGAAGAATAAAAAAGAATATTCGCGAACACTAAAATCTAAGAACAAGCTAATTCTATTGGTTAAAAAAATATGCTGACTAAGCAAAATAAGAATAATTCTAGAGTATTCTGTTGAAATATTCTTAAAAATTGTATTATTTGAGTTTAGTTAAGTTTTTGTTGAGATTTCTAACATAAATTGGTTTAAAAATAAATTATAAAACAAACAATTTTTTAAAACTATGACTCATTCTCGGAGCCACAGCAATAATATATTAATCTTAACTACAGTATGTAAAAAAAAAGAGATGTTATGCAGAATTTTTCACTGAGTAAAGAAGTAACATGACAAGCGCATGATCAATTAATGCCATTTTGGACAAAGTCGCTGCTACCCATTTGCCCATAAAATACCCATTTACCCATAAAATAACACATAATTAATAAAATCAAAGATCTGTATAGTGAGCAACAACATTTGATGAGCTCTTGGGCCAGGAGCAATGAGAAGGATAAACCAAATCAAGAACAGTACACTTAAAAACTTGATAACCTGTTTGATATCAGTCATGTGAATGCAGCTCAGATAATCAGTAATGAGGAAGATAGACTGTTGTATTAGCCCAGTTGACAAAAACCTCTTGGATTGAGAGAAGTGCTCTGAAAAACATCAGGAACAGTTTGCCAAGCAAGTTGCATCAGCAGCAGCAGTCACATCAAGTCAGGAGATGGATTGTGCAGCATTGTTAGATAGTGAAAATAACTTGTAGGAAGATGACAATGACGACTTTGTAGTTATAATGCCAATCAGGAGGGGTACTGCTAAGAAAATAAAACATCAATATTCTTTCAACAAAGGTTGCTGCAGTTCAATGATAAGTCAAACCTCAGCATTAAAACATCAACCATGATTCTAGCTTTCATGGTGAATGAAGTAGGATGTTCAACATCATTTGCAAAACTAACTTCTCTAATCTTCATCAAATAATTATTTATTCAATTAATCAAAATTATTTTAAATCAAAATCATTACTTTAAAATATTTAAACATTTTTGTTGATACTGGATGATTTTAATATAAAAGGCTACAAACACTAAATATTAATTACAAAAAAAAGGTTATGCTTTCCCTTCTCCCCTTGCCTCCCCCTTCCTCACTCATGAATTCGTTCTTGGACTTCAGTGACAAACTTGATGCCACTTTACACAGTTTGAGTGTGTATTGAAAGTTTTTAAATAGTAGCATTTATGACATTAGAAACTGATTTAATTTATTTGATATGAACATTATTTTATTTGATGGTTGGTTGATTATGTCTGTATCATCTTTAGCTTCAAATTTAGTGGTCATAATTGAACAATTTAAAGATCTTGTCAGGCAAGAAACATGCAGGCAATAAACTTACTAAACTTTATATAATTTACTGATAAACTTTATATAATTTACTAATAAAGTTTATTAAATATAAAAAACTTAACAAAATTTTATTAACTTGAAAAAAAGATTTTTTTTTTTAATAAAAATCTTTTGTAACAACCAATAAAAGTAAATTTTTACTTTGTTTAAAAGCAATTCGCTTAAAAACAAAGTAAATATAAATTGTTAGAAAAGATTAAAATTAATTCTTTTAGCATATTCGAACTTTCTAAAAGCCATGGGCAAGTTGTAGCAAAATATTATTGTAATAATTTTTTATTAAAAAGTATTTATAAAAATTATAATTTTTTTTGTTAGTATGTTTAAGTTAAATATGTTAACTTTTACGTCAAAAAGATTTCACTTACTTAAGATGAAAAAGTACTTATAAAAAGTATTTTGAAAAAATGAAAAAAAAATGCAGCTTTTAGTAATTTTAAATTCGCTGTTTGTTTAAAAGACATCAATCTCAAGCTAATCTAACTCAATCTTAATTAGGTTCTGGTTATGGTGATACCTCATAAAATTCAGCTGCATATATTTATGCATTATGATAAATTCTTAGCTACTAACACACAATTTTTTTTTTGCTCTAATATTCTCAATGTTTATAACAGGATAAGAAACAGGATTGCAATGTTTGTATTTTATCATTTTCAATTTCCTTTGGGTAATGAAAATAAAAAGCATTTTGAAAAGTTGATTTTCTTTTGAGTTATAATCATAATAAAAAGTTTTTTTTCTCTTAGTAAAGTTCTGCTTTTTTTAGCAATAACACTTCTTGACAAATTTATATCATTTTTTATATGTTTAAATATTTCTTAGTAAGTCAATTTTAATAAAATTTCTAAAAACCAAATAAGCTAATAAAAACTCAGTTTATTTAAGACAACACCATAGAAAACTTTTATTTGTATCTTTTTTGTAGTTGTTTTTGGGAAACAATTATAAATTTGTAATAATGCTGAAAAGTTAAAAGTTACTTTCAGCACTTTTTAAAAAAAAAAAAAAATTTTTTATGGGCATAATATATATATATATATATATATATATATATATATATATATATATATATATATATATATATATATATATATATATATATATATATATATATATATATATATACATATATATATATATATATATACATATATATATATATATATATATATATATATATATTTAAATATATTATGTTCATAAAAAAAAAAAAAAAATACATATAATAAAAATACATGTGTGTATGTATGTATGTATGTATGAATATATATATATATATATATATATATATATATATATATATATATATATATATATATATATATATATATATATATATATATATATATATATATATATATATATATATATATATATAAATTAGTAAAAAATCACTTAACAAAAATTTTTTTGATTTTACACTGTGTTTCATCAACAAAGACTCATCATTTCTGATGAGTCTTTCTTGATGAAACACAGTGTAAAATCAAAAAAAATTTTGTTAAGTGATTTTTTACTAATTTATAATTACTCTGTTCTTTTAAGAACATTGAGCACTCTATTTTGTAGAATACATTTTTTTAAATTGTTTAAATATATATATCAGGCTTTCCCAGGTAAGGCGGTCGTACGCCTTGTTTGTCCACGCATAGAATAAATTTTTCAGAAAACGTGACTGCGGCAATATTTTGTGGGAAAGCGGAACTTATCTACAGAGAATAAAAATTAATATTAAAAAAAGGAAACGAAGTCTAAACAAAGTATAAAATTGAAATTGGATGTAAGAAAAATATTTTGATAATAAAAAAAAAATAAAAATAAATAAAAATCTTGTAACAAAAAAAAAAAAAGTCCTGAACATTTTTTTCAAAGTTTTTATACTGTTTTTGTTTCCTTTTTTTAGGGTTGCTATTTTCAGCTACGAAATTTGATACAAGTCAAGGAAAAGGCGACAATAAATCATAAAGTTTTCATGAAAATAAAAAGACTTGATACGTAATTTATTCCCTAACTTTATCAGATACTGTATTAAAAAAACTGATTCATTATTTACGCTAGACAAATTTGATTAAATTTTTTCATTTAATTTAGTTTTTACGAAGTTTTATGCAAAGGCGATGACGTTACTCCCCAATACTTAGACAAGAAAATATATTGCTGTTTTAATTATTAAATATATTATTTGAGATTTTAAAGATAACAAAATTTTAATGTGAAAAAAGTTGGTATTGTGGTTTATCCTCCTCTGGCTAGTTGCCATATAGAGGCCACATTACCAAGGTACCGCAAAGACAGGTTCAGCTCTCCAAGGAGCGTCATAACCCGCTCTACAGACCAAGAACAAAGTGTTAGAAAGATAGCATAGAGAAAGCGGACAGGATTGCACCCGATGTTAGGATGTGCAATAAATTGAAACAGGGACTAAAAATACAAATACTAAAATATAGTTTAGATGTGTTTTTTTCCGTCTGTGATATAGTTTAGATGTGTTTTTTTCCGTAATGTGAAAAAAGTTCTCTCTCGACTTATTCTAAACTGATTTTACTGAGTCAATGCTCGCTTTTTATTACGTTGAAATTATTCAACTGCATAATTTTGTAATTACGAAAGAAGTTAAAAAAATAATTGCATTGCTTCTGTTGTCATTGTTATGAAAATAGTTCCTTTGGGACATTATTATATATTAACACTTGTTCACAATGTCAATTAATGATTGCAAAATAAGCAAGCCAATCGTTTGACAATAAAATTTTCTTTCATTTAAAAATTTAAAAAAAAAATTTAAAAAAAAAAAATTTTACAAATAAATAGCAATCGTTTTCGCGCTTTCTTGCGTATCAATACGTTTAAACATTTAAATGTATTTACGAAACATTTAAAAATTAATTAGAGTTCTATCGTGAATTTTAAAGTATTACTGACTGATAAAAGTCATAAACAAACTTTACATTAAAAGATCCTTTTTATTTTCATTAAACAACAATCTTTTTTTTTTTGATTTGATTTTTCTTATTGATTTTTTTTTTTTTATTGATTTGATTTTTCATAGCTAAAATAACTACCGCCCTAAAAAACAAAAACAAAAAAATAAATAAAATATAGGTAAATTTCTTTTTTAATAATATACATTAATTTTTAAATTTGAAAGCACAAACAGATTTCTTTTATTTACTTTAAGATTGCTTGCATTTTTTACGGTATTTTCGTTTAGCTTTGTTTTGGCGCGAATTCTTGAAGCGCATAATAATAAAACGTGGTCAGTTAGTCAGAAAAATTTATTCTATGTGTGGACAAACAAGGCGTGCGACCGCACGCCTTTCCTGGGAAAGCCTGATATATATATATATATATATATATATTATATATATATATATATATATATATATATATATATATATATATATATATATATATGCACATATATATATTTATATTTAAATATATTATGTCCATAAAAAATAAAAATAAAAATACATATAATATGTGTGTATGTATATATATATATATATATATATATATATATATATATATATATATATATACACAAATAATATTGCGTACTAAGGTAAGCAATCTGACGTCATACTGAAATAGCCTGCTGCTGGGGGCTTCAGTACATACATCGACTGACAAATAGCCTGACTCGCAGTGGAGTGCTGCATCGACTCAGGGTTTGGGATGGGGAAGCAATCGTTTTATTCATCATTCTTTGTTTTTTCTTCTTCTTTTTCAAAAAAAAACGGTAGAGCTAAAGGTAAGCAGAAAAAGTGAGCAAATGCTTATCAAAACACGCTTTAGTAAGTGTGTGTGTGTATATATATATATATATATATATATATATATATATATATATATATATATATATATATATATATTTTATATATATATATATATATATATATATATATATATATATATATATATATACATGTATATAAAGTATCAATTCATATAAGTTAGGAGTTAATTCGCATTTATTTAATTTTGGCAGCACTAAGAAACACAACTTGTTTAGAATTCTAAAATATGTTTTTTTGCCTGGAGTCTTATAAATTTAACTTCTAAAACATTGGACTCATAACCGATAAAAAAAAACATTCCTACACACCACATTGCAAACTTCATATCCCTGTTAAAAATAAATACAGATATGTCAACTTAACTAAACCATCAAAATTACAATAAAAAATATATATGGCAAAAGATACAGGCCAGAAAATCTCTGATAAATTCATGTCGTACTGGATGTAAAAGCTGAAGGTAACAATCTCTGTATGCTTCATACCATGGTGCTGTGGCTAAATTAACAAAAAAAATATGTTAAAGTAATTTATTATTATTTATTTTATTAATATTTATTTTTTCTAATTATTCTCTGTAAATGTATTGTATGTATTCAATAACTGTGTTTATTTTATCATGTTGTGCATACATTACTTTGAAACAATTCTTTTAAACATTTTGTCAAAAAAATTAAAGAATTTTTTTTTTTTACATTTATCACAATTATTGTAGTTAAATAAATTTAAAAAATTTGTTAATGGTAACAAAATAACTAACTTTATCCATATTAAAAATGCTTTTTATTTAATACAATATTAGGGGTTATATATACCATTGTTTTTCTTATCATAGAACACAGTTGAAGAGCAAAGTTAAAACCCGCCCAATAAAACCCAATAAAACCCACCTAAAAAAACCCAATAAAACCCAGGCAATCTGGGTTTTTTTGAAATATATCTAAAAACTTATGAACTATTATATTATTAATAAAACCCACCTAAAAAAACCCAATAAAAACCCAGGCAATCTGGGTTTTTTTGAAATATATCTAAAAACTTATGAACTATTATATTATTAATATATATTATTATTAACCAACATTTCTGAAAACATATTATAGAGCTAGCTATAAAGGGAAATTTTCAATTTAAACACAACATTATTTTTATTTAACACAATTTTATTTTGGAAACCAAACAAATTCATTCATTCAAGATTCATTCAATCAGAGTTTTTAGAATAGATCAATACTAGACAATACTAATTACATTTTTGGTATACTTCTTGCAAATACAACTTTACTTTAATGTAATATTCGCTTTATATTCTAAAAATATAAACTCTAATGTAAAAACATAAACTCTAAACTATTTTTGATACTGTCTATATATTTGCACAAGCTTTTTAGCCTTTTCACATCCTAATTTATTTCTAACTTTTGACCAAATAAAACCAAATGAAGAAAATATTCTTTCTATTGATCCTGAGCTAGCAGGGCACGTTTGAAGTTTAGAAATAAATTTGCAAAATTCTTCAGGCAATTTTTTCTGAATTGATTTTTCATTTCTCTGGTTAATGATAGACCACCAATCACTGCACAATATTGTTGATATAATTTGATTGCTCTTCCTTTTAGGAAAGGCATCACAATCCTTTAATTTAAGCAAAATCAACCCAGGTACAAAATCAGGATAATGATTGTAAAGCCATTCTTCAGCCTCATCTTCATTTTCAATCGGCAGGTTTTTGCCTATAAAAAAAAAATTCAGATTAGCATATAGGTATGAAAACAATTTTTTTTTAAGCAAAACTTATTTTTACCCAAAAATGGAGGATTGGTCATGTATGCAAGATAATGGATAGGTGTCATAGCATCATTACATCTCTTTTTGATAGCTGTGTGGTAATGACTTAGTTCAGGGTTATTCAGAAGTGAGAGCCACAACTCAACACATTCGGATAGGTGACAACTGTCACTTTGCATCTAATTTTGCATCTTTTAATTAACATTTTTTTTTTTTTTTTTTATTTCAATTTTTGTCAAGCAACCATTTACAATTAAAGATAATTTCCGTAAAATATTTAGAAATATTAAATACAAGTACATTTCATTATTTATAATAGTTACAAGACCGCAGAACCTGAAGAAGATAAAGTCTTTTCATCAGTAACCTTTGATAATAAAAATTAGAAATAATTGTGTATTGTTAGAAAAAATCATGTAAAGAATTGTGTGGCAATAAGTTCGATTATGTTCTTTTTAAATTTTTGAGAGGTATTGGCTTCTTTAAGTTTACCACTCAGACTTGTAAAATGGTTCCATAGCATTGGGCCACGATAGGAAATGGCAAAGCTCGTAAGTTTTGATGAACAGAAAGGTTTTTTAAATCTTCTGGTAGATCGCGTGTTGTATCGGTTTAATGTTTTATGGAAAATTTTTTCGAAAACCTTCAGCGTTTTTTTTGACTGATGTTGAAACATAAATTGTGTAATATTGAAAATATTTAACTCATAAATATCAAGTGCCCTCATGCTTTTTAGAAGAGGTTTAGCATTTGTGAAGCGATTTTGAAAATGAATAATGCGTGCTGCATGATTCTGTTGTTTAAGGAGACAGTCGAGTTTAGATTTATTTGTACTACCCCAAACAATATTGCCATAAGATAAATAACTATTTATGAATGCAAAATATAGTTGAGTTAGTGTAGATTTGTATAACATTCGTCTGGTTTTATATAAGATGCCAATACTTCTTGAGATTTTATTGCTAATATGATTTATATGAGCTCTCCAGGATAAGTTTTCGTCTATTAAAATACCAAGTAATTTATTTGTGAATGAGCGCTCAATATTGATGTTATTTATATATAGCATTGGTAAGGATTTTGGAATAGATTGAAACTTTCGTTTAGAATGGAATAAGGAAAACTTAGTTTTATCAGTGTTTAAAGATAAGCTGTTAGCGAAAAGCCAGTTTGATATTTGTTCTAGTTCATTATTTGCTACTTGAAATAGAGAGATAATATTACTGTGAGAATAGAATAAAGTGGTGTTGTCTGCGAACATAATAGTAGACATAGTATACGATGCTTTATATAGATCATTGACATAGATTAAGAATAGCAACGGACCTAAGATGGAGCCTTGTGGAACCACATAATACATTTATTTTTATTACTTTTCCTATACACCTACAAAGTCTTATTATGTAAAAAAACTTTAATATAAAAAAATTAAATACTTGATCTAAAACAACACCAAATATTTTGAGTTGGGTTTGAAGACTGTTAGCTTCTCTAAATATTGCTCGATTTTCAATAATTTTTCTGATTTTGATAGGTATATCATGATTATCTACTATTTCTACATAAATTTGGTAGTTTTTTATGTATGTTTCTATACAGTCAATTTGGGAATTCCATCGGGTATTGTTTGGTAACTGAGGCATATGCCCTCCTTTCTCACACAACCATCCCTTAAAAAAAAAAATAAAATAGTTAATTTTAAACTTTTATATACTTTTTATACTTAATTTAATAGTTTAACCCACAAATACAAAATGTTTACATGCGGTTGATGTGTATTACGAAAATATTTCTGCACTTCAACCACATGTTTGATGACATCTGGGTGTGTAACTTCTTTTTCTAAAAGGTTTAAATAATGTGCAGAACACCCATATGTTAAAAGATTTGGATACGTTTCTTTGATTGAATCCCTCATTTTTTTCATCTTATTTTTATTATCTGTTACCACAGCAAATACTTCTTTATTGTATGTTTCTTTAAGATCTTTAATGACATTACAAAGGAGTTCGGTATAATACTTGGCTGTTTTTTTATTTGATGCACAATCAGTAATGCATAAAATTTTATAATTAAGTCCGTCATATGCACTGTGAGCAATAATAGGATCATTAGTAACACTACTCCATCCGTCTTGCATAATTGTTATTGTTTTCTCTTCTTGGGTAAGTTGATCCATCATTTTTTTGTTTACTTCCTCATAAACTTTTTCTAAGAGCTCTTCTCCTAGCATTTTACGGTTAGGTGGTTTATATCCTGGTCTCAATGAACTGATCATGTCTATAAATTCTTGATTTTCAGAAGTTTTAAATGATACATTTTCACTGAAAAAAAATTTTGCTATTTTTATATCAATATTTTCTTTCTGTTCCATATTAGTTGATATTGTGTACGATGACATCAACCCCTGCTTCTTACAAGGTGTTAACGAACTTATAGAACTTACAGATGCCAAAAAACTTTTTCCAACTTGAGATGATGGTCCAGCTATTAGAGCAGATGCACTAATATTTAAATCATTATTTGGTACATCATCACAACTTTTATTTAAATATTTTGACAAATTGAGATTTTCCCCTTCTGTATGATTGTGTAAAAACTTTTTTTGGCAATGTTTTAAATGGGGTTTTACTCGTTCTATCTTGTTGCTAATCAAAGCATGACAATAGTCACAAGAAACCTTTGTACTGTTTTCAACTTCAGTCACTTCATCCCATTCTCCAGCTTTCTTTCTCCCATTTCCCATCGGCATTTTTAATTATAAAAAATATTATTATTAAATCTAAAATAAATCAATACATATAGGTTTATCATGATTTTTTTTTATTTTGTTACATTTTTAGTTTTTTTTTAAACTGTAATTAAAAAAAACTTATTGAAAATAATTCGAGGTGTATAAATTTTAAAAACTTATAAAATATATTGTAAATAAACTTAAAGTTAAAAATGATATTAGTTTTCAATATTATTAAACAAACAAAAAAATTTTTTTAACAAAAATAAAAATAAAAAAAACCCAAAAAAACCCAATAATAACCAAAAAAAAAACAAAATTACCCAAAAAAACCCACTGGGTCGGATTTTTTTTAAAAAAACCGGGTTTTTGCCAACCCTGGTGGGGATTGAACTTGGAACTTCTTGTTTATGATATATGTGTATATATATTTATGAAAATATATATATATCTATATATCTATATATATAACTATATATATATATATATACCTCTATATATATATATATATATATATATATATATATATATATATATATATATATATATATATCATAGCGTTCTCTACTACAGGCCTATTCATCGCGCAACCGGATTTTTTTGTGGAGGCCTACTTTTTTACAGCAAAAAAGATAATAACTTCGTAATTTTAAAACTAAAAAGTAATTTTAATTCTCTGTATAGCCTAATAATTTTTTTTTTGATGAAAAAAGAAAATTAATATTAAGTAATAAACAATGTAAATAAAAGGCAAAGAAATTTTTTCTAATTTTAAATTTCACACATTTACATTAATATATTATTTCACATTTTGGCTTTAACAGCTAAATACGAAATTGATACTTTCTTATATTGAGTAGAAATGTTATTAAACCAAACAAAAAATATTAGATACATTTTGATTAAAATTGTTAACAAATTCTAAAAAAAAAAAAACTAATATATAAAACTTTTATAAATCTTTTATAAAAAAGTATACTAAATATATCATAAACAGTAGACAACTAAGTAGACTTTTAAGAGATTTTTAATAATTTTAGTGCAGGTTCTTTGCCAGATCTTGGAGTGACAGCGGTACATAAATTTTTAAAAAATGTTGCTCAATATTACACAATGATGTTCTACCATATCCAATAAATAATAGTCTGATATAATCATAAAAATACTACTTAAAAATTTTCTGCATACATGATCTTTAACTATTTGAAAAACTACAAAACAAAAAAATTTCCTTTGGCACGAATTATTAGTTGGAATATTTAATCCACAACAATCTAAAAATTTAAAAAACTGACCATATTTCTGAGAATAGAACGTTGTTTGATCTAAAAGTTCATAATCAGTTCGTTCTTTATCATTTTGTGTAACATAACCAGCAATGTGAATAAGTGATACTTTGACATCATCAGCAATAGAAGATTCCAGATATTGCAAGTTACCAAGAATTTCGCAGCAGTCTTCAGACAATTTGTAATCACATAACGCACATTGATGACCAGACTTCACATTAAAATTGTCAATATCTACATTTAACTTTAAAAGTAAAGATGCATGTTTGATACGTAATTTTTCAATAACTTGTTGAACACTAAGAAAATATGTACCACCAGAACCTTGACGAAGTATACTATATTCTTTTTCCAGGTGATCTGAAGTAAATTGACCAAGAAGTACATAGTTTTGGGTAGTGTTTAGTAAATATCTACATAAATCTACTAGTCCATAACAAGTTTAATGTATACAAGTTGCAGTATCTTTAAAAAGCTGTTTAATACGCTTACCTTTGGGACCTGCCATTTTAAGTGCCATATCACCAAATTGTAGTATTAAATTTAAACAGTTGTCACCAGGATTGTTGATAACAGCCTGCAAAGGATCATTATGCCTTGTATCAGCACCAATGGCTTTGACATTTAAAGTTTTTCACCAAATAATAACTTTATTAATAAATATAGCAGTGTTGTTAACATCAATATGAATCATGTCATGATGTTGCAAAAGAGCAGCATAGGTTTTTTCTGAAAATACTCTTAAAACTGTTAATACACACTGTCGTTCAACAGGTTTAGGAGAAATAGAAGTTTCATTCAGGTCAGATAACTTTAGAAAGCTTCTGGATTCTGCATTGTAAAGCTGCTTTAAATGAGTTCATTTTGCAATCCTGGTTACTCCGTTATTTTCAAATATTAATTCCTGAACTTTTTCAGTTAACCAAAAATTACAAATATTTTTTATGAGGTGATCAAAATCATTAAGTAAATATTTTCCATCTACTGTTAACCATGGTTTTCCCGGAATGAATGTGTACATTTTAAAAAAAGCCTGATTGACACGATTCCCATCACATATAATAGCTTTTACATTTGCACTGACTGAATCAATTATTTGACTAGTTAAATTATTCTGTTCAAACAAAAAATCAGATTGTAATTTTGATATTGGTATCATTTTAATTAACACCTTTGGACCCCCATTTAAACTAACAGCCATAATCCCTAACAATGTTTTGGACAATTCCACTGGGTTATCCTCCGATCTACCAAAAATAGTTCCACCATGGTAAAGCAAACTTTTTTTAAAATATATTTTATCATGTAGTATGATACATAATTTCTGCTTATCCGGAAGAGAGTTAAAAATTTAATAAATAAATTTGTTTTCATTAATATTAGAAATTTTTGAAGTAATTTGAGTCAGTGTTGAAATAGATGGAAGTTGATAATCATTTCTTAAGCGATTATATAATGCCCTTGATGTTAAAAAATATACAAAAGAGCGTATAAGTATTTCAGGTGTATAAAGTTTCCAACTAATTTTGGTCCCATAACTGAAACATGTTGCATAATTACTTTTTTTTTATTATCAATTCTCAAAGAGCTTAAAAAATGAAGTATTTCATTAAACTTAGACCAGGAGTCAACAGTTAAGATTCGATTTACTGTTAAGCTAGAAATGTGACACTTAATCCCATAATGAAATGTTTCAAAGGTAAGATTTTCATAAATTTTAAGTACAAAAAAAGGTATTCCATTAAAAAATTGCAAAGATTGTATAACAACATAGCCATCAACCATAAACGATATAACTGGATTTTGGTGATCACTACTATCAATAAACTTGTTTTTAATGTCACAAAAAGTAGCTTTATCCCTTTTAAGAAATGTATCTAGCTCATCATCTAATGTACTTCTAATGTCACTTAAAGATCTTTTGGTAGATCTTTCAGTAGGATAACCAGTTGGAATTTGAGATAAAGGTATTCCTAGCCAAACAGAAAGAGAATTTTTTGATCAACGTTTTCCTCCATGCACTATAACTGTATCAAAATTTGGAGACCAGTGTAACTCACAGATAAGAGTATACTTGGTAACAACCAAATTAGAGTTTGGAATAGCTTTTATCCATTTTTCACGCTCAACGTTATCACTTGGAAACCGATACACTGATATTTTATTAACTTCACTAGATATTTTGTTTTTTTCACTTTGATAGTTGGTGTGGCAAGCATACACACAACATTTATTTGGCATGATGATTTAATTTAAATTTTATAAATGTATTATTTGCTTTAAATTAAATCTGAAACTCCATGTTTAAATTATATAAGTTTATTAACATTGTATTATATTCCATTATTTAAATATATATCATAAACGACATGACATTGTATCTGGTCTGACTGTGGAGAAATAACTTTTTCGCAGTAAAAAAGTAGGCCTCCGCAAAAAAATCCGGTTGCGCAATGAATAGGCCTGTAGTAGAGAACGCTATGATATATATATATATATATATATATATATATATATATATATATATATATATATATATATATATATCCTTATAGTGTAGTCGAAAGAGACTTTTATGGTAAAAAAAGTTGTTTTTGCCGAAGCTCGTCTTCTCCATTTTTTTCAACTACTCGGAGTCTT